ATGGACACAGTTCCGAAGCCCCAGTCTTGAATTTCTTGTACACATGGCTGCAGACTCTGTTGTTTCCAGTACGCAGTCTAAATATACTGGTCTGTTTCTTTCGTGTAATAGTTTTCTGTGAGGCTGCAACTCAGAATTCTGGGTTATAAAATCTTGGTTTGTACACCAGACTGACTCGTATTTTATAATATTTCTGAAAATGGACACCATGTACTGTTGTATGACCAAACAGTGTTAATGCCAGCTTGTATAAAATTTAGGATGTAAGTCAAGGGTGGGCTAACTATGGCCCGTGGGCCAAAATCAGCCCACTCAGACATTTGTACTGGCTCAAGAGGCTGGTGTAAAACTACTATTTAATCTGCGCCCCCCCCCCCCCCACCCCTTTTCCATGAATATGATTCAAAAAGACACATTTAGAAATAGACAGAAGACCTCAAGTGGGTGTGTGAGGCTGGCCAGAGATTCTAAACTTGGATTTTTCCAGAAACAAAAAATAATGTTACAAGGAAATCTGGGCGTTAGATTTATAATAGATTTTTTTCCGATATGATCCACAACCAGGGTAAATTTGGCCACTAGAGAAAAAAAAAGCTGCAGGATCTTATGAATGGGTCAGACCGTTGGAGGCTACAGGATAATGTCATAGCTTATGTTAGAATTATTCATTTATTCATCAGAGTCAAATACAAGTTTTCTTATGCCATTTTTTTCCCTATAACACCCTTTAGGTGCAGATAACGTAATCACAACAGCTGTGAATGCAAGGCAGATTAAACTAATCCACAAAAGAAATATCCCTGAATCTACGAGCACGTATGGAATGTCCATGTAAACAACAGGAGATTTAACAAAATCTTGTCCCAACTGTGCAAGTAACAGAAACATAACAGGTGACTCCAACAGCCTTTCACAATTAAAGTCAAACTCCCTGTAAACATCAGCACTGATTCAACAATCTCTCTCTCTATGTATATATGTGTGTATATATACATGCATGTGTATATGTGTATATAACATCCTGCTGTGTGCTATTATACATCAAAAATGGTTTGCAGTCTAGTTTTCCACTCTGTTCTGTCATGTGCAATCCACTCAATATGGATGAAATCCAGGCCAGCCTCCTTATCTTCTTGCAGCCATGTTTATCTCAGGGTTTCTCATGGAAGTCCGTTTCCTTAAACCCATGTTTTCATTTCTGTGATTATCCATTTCTCTTCATGTTGTGGGCAATATTTTCTTTGTTGTATAACTGATGATACAAGCATATATGTTATGCGTCATATATATATATATATTCCAGGTTGGAGCATATATATATATATATATATATATATATATATATATATATATATATATATATATATATATATATATATATATATATATATATATATACTCGCACACGCGCATGTGTGTGTGTATTTGTCTGGGTTGGTGTCTGTGCTGGGCTGTGTTTGGGGTGTGTATAACCAAACATAATCACATTGTTATCTTAGTTATCAAACCATATTTCATTCTGTGTTAAAAAAATTTTTTTACGATTAGAGAGAGAACATACATAAACATTAAAACATAAAATTTTGGATTAAAAAAAATGAACAAATACAAATTTGAACAATGGTTAACCCACCCAAAAAAAAAAAAAAAAAAAAAGAATTACAAAACGAGAAATATATCTAGATTAAATTTTTTACACTTTAATGAAACCTAACTATCTGGCATATCTAAATGTTGCCACATGCAATGTGTACAAACACAGGTTTTGGATCTGCCCTAGATAATGCTAAATAGAATGATCGTGCCAATGCAAGATTTCACAGATAATGATCACGACTCTAAAACTGAATACACAACTAAAAATGTACTGGGCAATTCACATCCAAATATAACCAGAGAAGTGTACTTCACATATGAACAGTAATGGAGAAAGGAAGAGCGCTCCACACTTAAAAAGTATTGAAGGAATGAAGAGCACTTCACAGTTAAACAGTAATGAGGGTATAAAGAGCATTTCTCCTTTAAGTACTGGGGAAGAGGAGTACTTCAAATTTAAGTACTAGGGGGAAAAGAGTAGTTCAAATTTAAGTATTAGTGAAAGAGGAAGGAGCACTCAAATTTAAATACTACTGAAGAAGGGTACTTCATTCACAAACAATGTACGACAAACAAAGCACACCCTCAAATAAAAACAAAGCTAAGATAGAGAACTTCACACTCAAGTTTGCCAAGAAAATGTCCCTACTGTAAGAATAAACAGAACCATACTCAAGCACAGACAAGAAAGTGCCTATACTTAAAATATAATTAGAACCACACAGATAAGAAAGTGCCGATAATTAAAATTAATTAGAACCACAAAGACAGGAACGTGACCATACTTAAGATTTAATTAGAACCACACAGACAGGAAAGTGCTCAAACTTAAAATATAAATAGAACCACACAGACAGGAAAGTGTCCATACTTAAAATATAATTAGAACCACACAGACAAGAAAGTGCACATACTTAAGACATAATTAGAACCAACACTTGAGCGGAGCCAAAAAAGCGCCCATATTTCAAGTCTAACTGAAACAATCTAAATGGTAAATATACATAACCCACCATGAAGCTAAATACACATTTTACATTTATTTAAAAATAAATTTTGATTTCATTTTCTGGCCATATTTGGTTTTTATTCAGGGCCAGAGACAATACAGAAAAGGTGGGAACAAACAGTTCAGTATTAATGTGACCACAACAAAGAAACTATAGTTCAAACAGCAAATAAAACTGCTGGAAATAAACCAGAAAATTTAAAAAAAAAAAAAAAAAAAAGGGCTGACCAGTTTTTCCAACTCTAATGTTTTGAATTTACAAATGGAACTTTTGTCCCCAAAAATATGATTCTTAACCCTGTCTGTCCTAAAAAGTTGTTATCAAGTAGTAATCATCAATGTGATAATGACTTTTGGCACAGTATAGGAAGGACCGTTTTTAATGCCAGGAGTAACTGTTTAAATCTTATCCTGACACGTGCAAGTGAATCTTGGCAGACAGGGACAAATTATTTAGAAACTGCGGAGACATGGCTGAGAATATGTTAGGCAGATACGGATACATGGCTGAGAATATGCTAGGCAGATACAGAGACATGGCAGAGAATATGCTAGGCAGATATGGATACATGGAGGAGAATATGTTAGGTAGATACGGATACATGGCTGAGAATATGCTAGGCAGATACGGAGACATGGCTGAGAATATGCTAGGCAGATACAGAGACATGGCAGAGAATATGCTAGGCAGATATGGATACATGGAGGAGAATATGTTAGGTAGATACGGATACATGGCTGAGAATATGCTAGGCAGATACGGAGACATGGCTGAGAATATGTTAGGCAGATTCGGAGACATGGCTGAGAATATGTTAGGCAGATACGGAGACATGGCTGAGAATATGTTAGGCAGATACGGATACATGGCTGAGAATATGCTAGGCAGATACGGAGACATGACTGAGAATATGCTAGGCAGATACGGAGACATGACTGAGAATATGCTAGGCAGATATGGAGACATGGCTGAGAATATGCTAGGCAGATACGGAGACATGACTGAGAATAAGCTAGGCAGATACGGAGACATGGCTGAGAATATGCTAGGCAGATATGGAGACATGGCTGAGAATATGCTAGGCAGATACGGAGACATGGCTGAGAATATGCTAGGCAGATACGGAGACATGACTGAGAATAAGCTAGGCAGATACGGAGACATGGCTGAGAATATACTAGGCAGATAAAAAGAGGGATGAAGATGTCTTGAAAGAACTGACTCAAGAAACAATCTGATTGCCCACATCAGAGTGAGACAATCTACATTCTTTGGTCATGTGATGAAAAGGAGAAAAACTGGAGCATTTGTGACAGTAAGAAAGCTGGAGGGGAAGAGAGGCAGAGGGAGACCGAAAGAGAAGAGGATGGACAGTCTGACATCATGGCATGCAGGATATATCTGTCTCAGAGCTGACTAAAAGCCCAGAGACCGAAGGTTGTAGATAGAAATGACTACCAACACACACACACATGAACTTTAAGAAAAAGAAAACTAGAGGTACTGAATGAGTTAAGGTAAAAGAGTTTGGGGGGGGGGGGGTGTTGGGTGGAGGGAAAATGCAGCTTTTAGATATAAGAAGTCACTTCAAAAACTGGTAGTGAACGGCTTAACATAACAGCACATAGGAGTTGATAAGAACTGTATAACATGTGTAGGGTAACAATAAAATTATGGTGACTTCCACGGTTATGTCAGGAATAATGATCACCAAAAACTGTTACCTACTACAGACATAAAGACAAACTATCATGTATATAAAAATATAAACTATAACCAATGTTGTTTTAAAAAAACAAGTAAGCAAAAACCAAGAATCACAACTGACACATCCTATCTTAATCAGCAGAAACCTCCATGGGGGACATCTCTTACATTATGCAATTAGCCTGGTCTCTATATGCTGTGTAAGGATGTGATTAGGTCTCAATACTCCAGTGTTCTTCAACCTGTGGCCCACATACACACACACAAAAACAGGGAAAACTGTTTTGCGCACCGCCAGACAGCTAGCCAAAGACAAACGTAATCAACTGTTGTAACCGTCAGATGCCCTAACAAAACTGTTTTATGCGGTCTATTGGGCTTTCCAGGATTTGTACCTGTTTGATTCTCATTATCTGATGTGATAATCGCTTGGAGGGGGGGGGGGGGGGGGGGAGACTACCTACTCTTCTCCGCTACATGATCAGGCAGACATTATTTTAGGCGGCCCACCTGGACTTTTCAGCAACTCACACTGGTTGAAGAACACTGCAATACTCTATTACTTTCATGAATAATAAATAATTAAACAAAATACAGACACAAAAAATAAAATGGGGAAAAAGATAGTTACACCATAGTAAGTTGTTAGCCTATTACACACAGGATTACTGGCAGCTTCGGTGGGTCTCACATCCTCTGAAACTCCTTGTATTTCTGCTCAAAGGGAACTTTGCTCAGGCGGGGATCTTGCCTCTTCTTGGCCTTTAACCTTTCCTTCATCTCGGCGACGGAGAGGTTTAGCTCTAGGCCATCGGATGCCTTGGGTGCTGGGGCTGAGGAAGCTGCTGGGGCTGAGGAAGCTGTTGGGGATTCGTACCGGGCCTGGGAGGCCACTGTGAACTCATGTTCAGGTTCTGATGGAGACTGCTGGAGGAAAGAATAAAAACAGCACAAGTGAACATTTTGGTTAACCTTCCGATCAGTGGTAAAGCATGTTTCAGTCATCTTTTTCCCCCACTTTGGCTAAAGTTTGTCTGTCTGTTTGTTTGTTAAGTCTTTGTTTAAAACCATTCTATGATATGACTTTTAAAATGCTGTTAGGAATCTTATCGCACTGTCTTCCTCTTCCTTCCTGTGTGTTCTTTAGCCTCACTGAAAATGGGGAGGGTGGGGGGGGGGGGGGGATATAGACCACACTGCCCACTTAACCAGCATGTTGTAAAAGGCGACTAATTAGGGGTGGTTTTTTTTGTGTGTGGGAAGTCCCAGTGTATCTGCCTGTGAGGTGAGGAAGCAACAGTGTGCAAACAGATAATCCAGATCTGTAAAATGGATGTGTATGCAACATTCAGGTTGCAAGACAAGACCAAAGTCCAGAAGTGGACAAACAATCAAAGAGATTCTGAGATTCTAGCTGTGAACTCTAAGATCTTTCTTTCCATAAACATAAGGAGTGTTTATATTAACTCGCCCATGCTGCGGCATGTGCCATTGTGTGTGGTGAACATAATCATTTATAGTCATGTCATGAAGTACTGATCAATAAATAAAAGAGCGCATGTTTAATGTCTCATGATGCACAGCTTGTGTTTCGGACTGTACCGAAAATGGCTGGGTTGATTCAAAATCCATTCAAAGAAGCTCAAAGAGCAGTGATTCCGGTTGTTTCATTTGAAGACTATCAATCGGTGGACATCATCGAAGGATGCAGGCAGTGTACAGTAACAAATGTGTGTCACAGACAACACTGATAGACTGGACATGACTGTTTCAGAAAGGAAGACAGATCTCCTACAATCGGGTCAAGCGCACATTGTCATAACAGAACAGAAACACCATCGGTTAATCTGACAAACCAGTACAGGTAAACCGTTGTTGAAGCTTACATTCACTAGTCAAAGAATTTGATGTGTCAACTGGGACAGTTCAAAAGGTTCTTTGTAAGCAAATACAATATCAGAAGATGTGTCCACAGCAGGTACTACAGATGCTAACCCACCACCAAATGGAACAGGTGGGTTAAACACTTGGTTCAGTGAGCAACCACAATCCTTTTTTGCGGACAGCAACAGCACTCGTCGTCTACTTAAATAATGGGATGCTTGACTGAATCCTAATGGCGACTTTTGCTAACCAACCTTCTTCTTCTTCTCTTCCACTCAGTACCTCAGTGAAGTGTAAAGGGGCAGGGGGGGGGGGGGGGGTGTAATGTTCATTGATGATCTCTGTCAAGAGCACTATTAAGACTGATGTTCATTTCTGTAAGGCTGTTCTTAATGCCATCACTCCAAATTTTCCGAGGTCTTCCGCTTGCTCTATACAAATTGTAATGTTTCAGTGTAGCTTGCTGTGGTAGATAGTACCAGGGCATTCTTGTTAGGCGTCCAAACCACTTCAATTGTTGTGCTTTGATGACCTGTAAGACTGGCTTTATTCCTAGCATTCGTCTGATTGTGTGATTTTGTATTCTGTCTTTCCTTGAAACTCCTGCAGCTCTTCTAAAGCATTTCACCTCGGTTGTCACAATTTTAAGTTCATTGGAGGATGTAAGTGTCCACTTTTGGCATGATAGCATAGTGTTGACCAAAAACTAGTTCTGAAGCTGACCAAAGCCTTGGTGCATAATTAATTACAAATGAACACTTTGTTTAATTCTGCCAAACCTGTTGATGTTTCATTCACACTTCTATAATAAAGCCATTGGGGCAGGTTTCAAATGAATGCTCCTTATAGTTACAAGCTACTGACAATAACTGGCTTGCTATCCACTAATTTGCACATTCCAATCCATTAGGGTGGGAAAAAAAATATGCCAGCTCCAATCACATTATGTAATCCCAATCTGCTAAGTTAGCAAACCAGATTACAGATTGTCTAGAAGTACGAAGCTATTATGTGAGATTTATTCCTTGGGGATTCAACTTGACATTTGTGTGTTGTAGCTGGCGAAATAATGTCTGTGCTGGGCAGTATTAATTATAGTAATTGTTTCAGTAAACATCTCTGTCTGCATGCATGTGGGTATGCAAGTGCTTCTATTTTACCATTTCTGTGTGTGTATGTGTGTGTGTATACATGTCTCTGTCTCTATGTCTCCCCCTCCCCCCCCCCCCCCCCCCCCACCCCCTACTTTTCCCCAGTGTCTCTGTGTGTGTGCGTGCATCCATGCAGATATGTGTTTCTATATTATCATTTATATGTATGTATGCTTCTGTCTCTGTATATCTGTTCTCTCCCCCTCCCCACACCTTTCTCTTTCCCAGTGCCTCCCACTCTCCCTCTGTCTGTCTGTCTGTCTCTCTCTCTCTCTCTCTCTTGTTTAAGTGGGTGGGTGAGTGAGAGAGAGTGTGTGTATGAACATATGTGTGCATGTATGTATGCATGTGTGCACGTTACCATCCATGCTTTTATTTTTTTACCCCTTTAATATTCATATTATGCATATTTGTTATACGAACATAAAATACACTTGCTGTGTGTGAAGATGGGTGTTTGGAAGAGCTGAATAAAATGCTTTATAGACAAAATACACTTGCTGTGTGTGAAAGATGGGTGTTTGGAAGAGCTGAATAAAATGCTTTATAGACAAAATACACTTGCTGTGTGTGAAAGATGGGTGTTTGGAAGAGCTGAATAAAATGCTTTATAGACAAAATACACTTGCTGTGTGTGAAAGATGGGTGTTTGGAAGAGCTGAATAAAATGCTTTATAGACAAAATACACTTGCTGTGTGTGAAAGATGGGTGTTTGGAAGAGCTGAATAAAATGCTTTATAGACAAAATACACTTGCTGTGTGTGAAGATGGGTGTTTGGAAGAGCTGAATAAAATGCTTTATATACAAAATACACTTGCTGTGTGTGAAAGATGGGTGTTTGGAAGAGCTACACATCTGCATGAACACTCAGTTTTGTTTCTGTCTGCATTCCCTTCCCGGAGCTGTGACACAAGACAGCCACTCTCCAGATGGAAAACTGTACACTAAACAATCCCAAATACACTCTTTAACTTCATACAGATCACCCAAGGAAAATCATAGAAATTATTCCCTGTGAGGGTTACGGGGCCCCATTATGGTGGAAATAAGAGTAGACCCACTGTCTCCCCAACAAGCATGTCATAAGAGTCAATTAGCTAGAGGCTTCCTTCAAAGTTGGAGTGCATCTGCCTGAGAGGCTAAATACCAACAATTCGCATACAAATAAGTCAGATCTGTCAAATGAATGTGCAAGAAACACTCAGGTTCTGGAGCCAAACTAAAGTGCAGAGGTGGACAAAGAACCAGAACTTTCTGCCGGAATTTACAGCTGGTGAACATGAAGAAGAAGAAGAAAACTCTAAAACAGTCTGAGGTGCCAATAATGGAGGCAGCCCAAAACAGCAAGAAGGAAACCTGATATCTCCCTATATACATGAAGCGGTTTAAAATAACAAGTGGAGAAGAAGAAGACTGTCAGGGATATACCAATATCTTTATCTAACTATCTGGGCATGCTGGTGTAAAAGGCAATGAATGAGTGAGCCGACTGGCAGGTAAGGCACTAATATATGCAGGAAGAAGCATGGTAGAGCTGGTATAATCAACACTTATGGACTAGACTGGGGGGGGGGGGGGGCACAATGATGAGTCTCTGATGCTAACATGACTACATGACCTCCCAAACAAAAAGCCAGGCAAAGTATATGTAGACCATCAGTGAGGTCAAGATAGGAGATAATATACTAACTTCCTATAGAAACAGTCAGTTGAAATACATTGGAATGGCTGCTGCACTAGAGGACAGAGTATGCATGGGAATGCCTGACATGCAGAGATGTCAATGATTTTAATAACAAATTTTTAAACTTAGTTGTGTAATTTTTGGCTGTTGTGGTTTTTCTACACAAATTTTACATTCAATAGTTTCCCACTGTTTCTGAATGGTCAGCCATCAGGAGCCCTGTCAAAACCATCGTAAGATGTTCTGCTTTCGAATCGCATGCAGCTGGGATGAAACCTGGCACCCCGCCACTATGAAGTGCATCTCCAAGCACCAAAGTCACAGACGCCAACATGTTAACATCACATTTTCATAATTAAGTTTCTTGGAGGTATGTGAAATGTTTGTTTGGGCGTGATCTAAATGACCAGTTTGTTTTGATTTCCAAATGCCTCAAATATAAAAAGCCTTTATTCTTCACACCTTAATGACACTATCCAAAGTGATACAAGATGTGATAAAACATTATTCACACCAATATAAAAATAAAACAATTTTGCCACCGTCGGTAAATACCATTATCTGGCTGTGTGTTCTGTTTGTACTATCATGTAGAGAACGGAAACTATTTATTGTAATTTTAACATGTGCATGGGATATGGAGGTAATGTCTGTTGACTGTTTGTTTTCTAAAACGTCTAACTCCACATCCCTTGATCAAACACTCACCAGAGATAAGGACTTGAGTCCATTAACAGCTTCTGTGAAGGAATCAGAAGAGAGGGAATGCGTTAAACATCAGAACATTGTGCATAAATACCAGCATAAAGGGTGTGTGGGAAGGGACAAATTAAAGGAGCATGTTAGGTAAGATACTAAAAAATATGTGCATGTTAGATAAAACTGCAATTGTAAATGTCGTCTCCATTTGGGATGGCTTCTGCCGGGGGCCCTGAATATAGCTGAAGCATAGATATGGCCTAGCCATAGATATGGCCTAATGTCTGAAAGGGGTTTCTGGGACCTCTCCATGGGTACCCCTCATCCGCATGGTGGCACTTTGTGTGTTTATCGCTAGTGTGATGTTCTGGTGGGGTACAACTACCTACCTACCTTTTAGATAAGAAAAAGTACAAAATATTCTAAAATTTATATTATGTTAGATAAGAAACTAAAGTAAATGATAATGTTAGATCAGAAACTAAAGTAAATGAGCATATTAGACAAGAAACTTAAGTATATGAGAATGTTAGATCAGAAACTAAAGTAAATGAGCATATTAGACAAGAAACTTAAGTATATGAGAATGTTAGATCAGAAACTAAAGTAAATGAGCATGTCAGATTTTTTTTAAAGTGCAGGAGAATTTTAGATAAGAAACTAAGTAAATGAACATATTACACAAGAAACTAACTTAATGTAAATGAGCATGCTAGATAAGAAACTACAGTACATGAGAATGTTAGATAAGAAACTGATGTATGAAGCAGCAAAATGCCCAGTGGATAGTGCACTTATATATCTGCCTGGTAATCTTGGGGTCAAATCCAAACAAATATGCAATGTTAAGAATATAAAATATGCCACTAAGATTGCCAACATATAATGGGTAATGCTGTTAAGATCATGCCGGCCGCCTTTACTTTCCAGAACATTTGGCAGTCTCCACATTAGCACCACAATGCTTCCATCAGCTAATGAAAATTTTTGGGGTTAAAAACAAAAATACTTGCGCAATCAATAGCAATTAAGACAAACAATATTGATCCTCCCTAAACTGAACAGACCACAATGCTGAAGCACTTTACACTGAAGCAACAGCTGTCAGTCCAGGCTGTAAAATCAACACCCCACCTTGCCTGTTCACACAACAAATTGCAGAAATCATTAGGCGGACTCAGTCAAGGAATGGCAGTTGTTTTGTAATATTTTCCCATGGTCAACAAAGCCTTAATTAGTAGGCTTCAGACGTCCGGACCAGTACAGGGTTCTGATTGACTGGACAATCAATGGATGACATTATGGTCACACAGAAGCTGAAGTGGTTAGTGCACTAGCCAATCTTCATCCAGTTAATCAGCTGTAAACTCCTGCGGAAAGTTCTGGATGTTTATCCACTTCTGGACTTGAGTCTTGTTCCAGAATTTGAGTTTTGTGTGCACATCGGTGTTACAGATCTAGCTTATTTGTATGTGGACTGTTGGTTCTTTGCCTCTCAGGCAAATACACTTCGACTCAGAAGGAAAACCCTAGTTAGTTTGTTAGATGCACTGGGTCTAATCTGTATTCCCTACCACAATAGGGTACTGGCACCACACATGGGAGCTCTGAGGTTTACAACCAGCCACAGAAAGTGCTCCTTTCTCTTTGCTGATCTGTGAGACTTTTCATTACAATCCTCTCACACACTTCTTTAGTTTCCAGTTTTAGTTTTCACAATACTCTCTCTCTCTCTCTCTCTCTCTCTCTCTCTCTCTCTCTCTCTCTCTCTCTCTCTCTCTCTCTCTCTCTGCTCCTCTCTCTCTTCCTCTCTGCTTTTTCTTCAGGTAATTAAGTTTTTTTTTTTTAAATGCTCAATACCTGCAACATGCTAGCTACACTGTGCAATCATTAAAATACTATGTGCACTACCTAAAAACCAACATGATATAATGGTAACATGGCACGCCATCTTGGCAACTCAGGCTATAACAATATTAATTAATCAATAGTAATCAAACACAACATAGGCAATGCAATATGCAGTGTGTCTGTGATGCTGTAGTTTGTGCAATGCAAGCAAGCAGCATGCAATCTGGAGGACAAAAATGACAGTAATCCAATACTGGCAATGCAACAGGCAGTTTTGTTGTATATATGTACAGTGCCAGCAAGTAACATGCAGTCTTGAGGACAACAAGGATAGTAATCCAGTAATGGCAATGTTTGTGCAATGTCAGCATAACATGCAATGCTGGCAACAGAGACTACAACAGCAATACTGAAACAGTCTGTCATAGTACTGTGTAAGGTCAGCAAGGTGACATGCAACTCTGACTACAACAACAGAAATGCAACATACAACGTGGGAAATGCAAGAGAGAAGTAGTACCATGGTAAGGTGACATGAAACCCTGACACCAAAAACAGTAATGCAATATACAACATGGGCAATGCAACAAATAAGTAGTAACACAGTATCATGCAAGTCAGTAAGGTAACATGCAACCATGGCTACAAAAACAGTAATACAACATGAGCAATGCAACAGGCAGTGGCGCAACATTACTGTGCCAGAACAGCAAGATGACAGGCAACCCTGGCAAAGAAATATACACAAAAGGCACAGCAATCGAATCTTCTATACTGATAAAAGAATGTGCAAAATTGGCAAAATCATATGCAAACATTGGTAATGGGCAATGTCGGCAAAACAGCATGCAGTATTTTGCAAAGTGCTGTGCAAAATGAATAGCAGCCTACAATGTCGGGAAATAATGTGCCATTTTGCCAAAGTAAAACAGAGGTGTCGGTAATTAAGTGCAGTATTCAAACATTGAGACTGGACTGTGGTCCACTCCGGAGAAGAAGAAAAAAAGACTAAGTTTATAATGTGCCGAGCATAATTAGCCATTGTTTTAGAACTGTTTTAATGTCAAGAGTTTGAAGTATGCACTTTGTCCCACGCCATATTTTCCCCACCCTCCTTCCTTCTCACACTCTCCGCTCCTTCTCTCTAAGTACTCCTCTCCGTCTGTAGCACTCCACTCCAAACTATAATTTCCTTTAATTAGAACCCCCCCCCCCCCCCCCCCCCCCCCCCCCCCCCCCCCACCCCCCCCCCCCCCCCCCCACCCCCCCCCCCCCCCCCCCCCCCCCCAGAAGAGTCCAGCTCGCTTTCATTAATTAGAAACTAACAAGCCGGCAATTGGCCCACCTAAGTGCTCTCTCCCTGTGAAACACGGTCTGCTTATTTAGTGATTTGTAAAACAAACTCAAAGGCCCCACTGGGAGTGTAGATATCCCTCTCCTACACAACAAGCGTGTCGTAAAGGACGTCGAATTGGGACACCTTGGGAGCGAGTGAACAGCGCCGAAGCACAGATAGATCATTAGGGTCTGAGGAGAGCAGCACTGCGAGGAGTTACAAGGGGATCTTGGCCGACGCTCGACTTTCAGGGAAAAGGCGAGACATATACAAGCAGACAGTTAATGGTACCATAGGAATTGTAACTCCTCGCTTGCTGCTGAGGATGGGGACGAAGTGCTTATGGGGGTGTCCCGAGTGCTGTGATGTTGATTCTAAATTCAACATTCAACATTGACAATGGCACAACGCGGGGAGACACATAACTACAATTTGTAACCGAACTATGTTACAGGCAGAAAATAAAGCAAACGACCCTTTCAGACCGAGGTTGCTCTTGGGCTCTTTTCTCTTTTGGAGAGAAAAAGAGATGAAGAAGAAGAAGAAAAAGAAGAAGAAGAAGAAGAAGAAGAAGAAGAAGAAGAAGAAGAAGAAGAAGAAGAAGAAGAAGAAGAAGAAGAAGAAGAAGAAGAGAGAAGAAGAAGAAGAAGAAGAAGAAGAAGAAGAAGAAGAAGAGAAGAAGAAGAAGAAGAAGAAGAAGAAGAAGAAGAAGAAGAAGAAGAAGAAGAAGAAGAAGAAGAAGAAGAAGAAGAAGAAGAAGAAGAAGAAGAAGAAGAAGAAGAAGACCTCTAAGGCTGATCCAAAACAAAATTAGGCACTGAAAATACCTCTCATTAAAAAAAAGTGTGGCGAGTAAAGGAAGCCTCTTAAAGTCCAACCCCACGTCCTCGTCGTGAGAGGTGGTAACAGAACAAAGTAGGGGATTGCTAGGTGTGGGCGAAGTATGGTGTGGCCTCGTGCCACGGGACCGCTACGGTAGCCATGAAGGCCACCCTTGGTCACCCCGAAACGTCCTGGCGAACGGGGCTCTGGTGAAGTTGCGACAGGCCTAGCAAGCCGGCAATGGATTTATTATCGCTACAGAAAACACAATGAGATATAAACGGACTGATCAAACGGTATCTGACCATGGCTATGTTAAGGGACTACGAGATAGAAAAGCGAAATACAAGAATGCAACACTTAATACCGCTGGCCAGGGAAATAAAACAGAAGAGATTATTGAAATGATGGAAAAAGGAAAATCAAGTTAATGGCGCTAGCTGACATAAGACGCAAGGGAAATAGTAGCAAGAAAATACAGAGGCTACTTACTAACATATGCAGGAGGAGGAACATCGAAGAATGGAGTGGGTTTCCTGGTGCATCCGGACATATCTAACTACATATTAGACATACATTATCACTCAGAATTATTACATTGAAAATTAAAAGAGGAGAACAAGCTGAAACATATATACAGTTATATGCACCATGCAATGATAATTATACAGAAGAGCAGAAAGATGAATTCTTTGACGATCTGTATGATGAGACAGAGAAATCTGAGGGAAGCTGCATACTATATGTAATGGGTGACTTCAACGGGAGGGTAGGAAATAACAGAAGAGAATACGAACAGTTTCTAGGTCCACATGCAGCTAAGAACAGTGATAGAAATGGAAATGGTCAAAGAATAGTGGATCTATGCAGCCAGCACAATCTTTTTATTACGAACACATTCTTTGACCACAGAGATTCACAACTTTACACTTAGTACAAATGGAATGATGTCTCCATCAAGAGCCAGATTGACTTTATACTTACCAGAGTTCAAGGAAGAAGGAGAATTCTTGATTCAAGAGCAATCCCTAA